ACCTATGTTTCACGAAAATAATGACAGTAGTGTATCATGGGGTCTGGTTCTTCTGAACGCAAGAGATTCAACCTGACATGAGCTTCCGACTCAAAACGCGATTAGATCTATTCATGTCTGCGCTCCGACTCCGGCACACAACAAAACAAGGATCACTGGCATTACTTGCTATGGAGGAAACGGCAAGTTCTCTTTCTCGACCTCAAAGATTTGGATATCAATGCTATGGTGTTCTGCTTTTGGTGGGACGGGTCGCCAACAGCACCTTCTGGCGTGCTCAAGAGCTCACACGCGCTATTGGCCAAGTCTTCAACTGTAACCCGCCTCAGTTCGATGACTTCCTGCGCTACTCAAAAGATGGGAATGGTTAGGCATGACTCTCTGGTTTGGAGGAACGAGGGTGCTCGCGGATGCTGGAGTTCTACTTCGATGTAAATAAAAGGGCTATCGTCTTCGCTTTCTACCACCTGTATTCTACACCTGGGGTTTCCTCTTACCAAAAGGCCGTAGCACTTCGGCTATGGTGTTCTGATCTTCTCAAAAACAGTATCATGGACTCCGATGGCTTCTCGGCCTGGGGCATTAGCACATTCGATAGCTGACATAGTTCGAAGTCAACTCATATCAAAAAACATCATCATCTTATTACATGACTACAATCCTATTCGATCTTTCTTCTGATTGAAAACTGGATGTACGCACCTGATGGCCTCCTGCCCTTCTCAACGGTGCTATCTCAGCACACGATGGCGTCTCGGACCGAAACAATGATCCTAACTGTAGATAGCAGAGTCCGACCTCATCCTCGCATATAAAGCCACCTTTGTTCTTGCCTTCTTCCTTCGACACACTACACACTTTCCCTTCCTTAACACCAAAAATGACATGACCTCCCACTTATGGCTTTGCGGGCTTCTTTCGAAATCACCGTCACGTGCAGCGATGAGTGTCCGATCCGAAAGCCTCGAGAGCCGTATCGATGACGAGACTCCACTTCGGCCTCAAACATAAAGCCCGCCGTCTTCTCGCTCCCTCTCTTGAGTGTTACTCCACACTTCTGCTCTCTGCATACCAAAAATGGAGTGGCTATGCTGTATGGTTTCGCGGACTTCTTCCCTCAAAGTTTATTGTATCGTCAAAAGAACTACAGATGGCCGCCATGAAGCTTGGGGTACTGTGATGCTAGAAAGCCCGCCCCAAAACTACAAGTATATAGACGACTTCGTGATGTCGTTGCCTGTCGACCACCGAAAAGACATACTCAAGTCTATTATGATACATTCGGGTACAAGGATGCAGATATGCCGCTCCCGGACTTCGGATCCAGCATAAAAGCCACCTTCTTCATGGCTCTTTCCTCACTTCATATCCCACTTCCGTCCTTCTTAACTACAAAAGTCGCGACAAACCCTTTATGTTCTTGTAGTCTTCTTCCCAAAAATGCGTTTTGACGCCGTCATGACTTTGCGGCCGGCGAAAGATTTCGACATCGTCAAAACCGGTCGAACCTTTGTACCAGATCCTAAAAACACAGTATTCAACTACATGACTGAATCCGCCCATTAAATATGGAAGGGATGCGAAAGAGGTCAACTACATGTCGATCGGCGGTGAAAAGCGAGCAACAAAACCAACACCATATGCGGCAACACGTGCCAGAAAAAGTCCCCAATACATCTCATGTGTGGTTGAAGTCGTCAAAAGACTATTTTCTTAACATATGAGCGTGCAGCTAGGGGACTGTATATATAAACTTCTTGTCTTCGCTGCCTGCTTCTTCTTTATCCAAATATTTTTATTCCGCAGATCCAAAGTGTGGATGGAACGATGGATGGCTGCCGGCTTCCCCGTCTCCTAAAACGCATGGAATTGAAGCTATGGTGTGCTGTTCGAAGTCACCAAAAGCATTTACATTCAAGTTGATGAGCGGCCATCGGGAGGAGTGGATATGTAAATCCCCTCTTCTCTGCCTCTTTCCTCCTTATCTACACATTCCTATTCCGCCTATTCAAAAATTGCATGAGCATAATCGGATGGCAGCCGTCTTGCCGGTCTTCGAAAAGAAACTGGATACATCAATATGCTGTGCTGCTGGAAGTCTCAGAAAGCGCCAAGCCATATTCCGACAAGCGCGCAGTGAGCGAGATATACATTGACCTGTCCTCTACGCTGTTAATTTTCTCTACATATATACATTTCCTTCTCCGCATATCCAAAGACTCTAGCGGCCATCGTCATGGTGGCTGTCTTTCCCGTCTCCTGAAAAACAGAAAGAACAAGTGGATGGAGTGCTTGCGGGCTTCTCTACGATCAAAACGGGCGTTCAAGATCGCGATGAAAGCGACGAAGCTGTCCAAAAAATGCTATGCGATGAACTCATGGCCAGAACTCCGGTCCGGGTGATTCAAAATACGGCTTCCTTCGCGACACATGAGTGCGTTGGGAGTGTTGAAAGACTACACCAATGTCTTGATGCTTGTCTCGTTCTGGGATTCGTTTGCTGCGGGTGTATAAAGCCTGGCTCACATATCGTTCTCTCCTTCTTTAATCACCTACGCTGCGCTTGTTGAAATCAAAAACCACATGATCCAAACCGATGTTCTTTGCTCTTGAGCTTCAAAAAATGAGCATACTGCGGACATGCGTGCGGAAAGTGTGAGAAGAGAGGTCTATGAAGTGGCGAGGCTTCTACCAAGCTATCGCTGTTATCAAAATATAGAGGACACCATCTCATGGCGCTGCTGTGTCGGGTTGAGCCTGTACTCATAGATCTGAGAAGACGATTGCAATGTTGTTACGCCATAATTCTGGATTGGCATTATCTTCACTCGGTCAATGCCGAAAAATGTCTTTGCTTTCGAATCTACCTCATATTGTCATTACCACCCATCTACAACCTTCTAACCCTGCATCTCAATTCCTCCACTTCCGTGGATTACCTCACCCGTACAATAACTCCCCAACGGACTAGCAAGATGCACATAACACGTCGCCATCTCCACCGGCATGCCCGGACGATTCAGCGGGCAAGCACCCACACCCAAGCTGTCCATCGCATCAGCCGGGTTGTTCTTCGTCGCCGGCTGTAGCGGCGTCCAAATAATGCCTGGCGCAACAGCGTTAACACGAATACCATTTGGCGCTTGCTGCTGCGCAAGACCGCGGGTGAAAGTTACGATAGCGCCCTTCGTGGAGGCGTAGTCGAGGAGCATGGGGTTGGACATGTAGGATGCGACTGAAGCGCTGTTTACGATGCAGTCGCCGCGCTTCATGTGCTTGAGCGCGTATTTGGACATGGCGAACATGGAGATGACGTTGGTGTGGAAGGTCTTTTCAGTTACGTCGAGGTCGATTTCGGTTATGTCTGTGCAGGCTTCTTGCATGGCGGCTGTGGGGATGTTAGTCTGGTGGCTATTGGTCATGTGATGGTGTTGCTGTAAAGTAGAAGTTTCTTACCGTTGTTAACGAGTACGTTCAGCTTGCCAAAGACCTTCATATGTTGCTCAACGGCTTGCTCGCAGTTCTTCCTCTCTCGCAGGTTGAGTTGCATGAGGTTTGCTTTGCGGCCGGCTTCTTCGATCTTCTTCTTGACGTATTGCGCATCCTCCTCTTCTTCGGGCAAGTACACAATACTGACATCCGCGCCTTCTCTTGCGAATAGGATTGCTACAGCGCGTCCGATACCAGAGTCTCCACCTGTGATCAACGCGGCCTTGCCTTGCATCAAACCACGACCCTCATACTCCTTGAGGTAGGGTTTCTGGTTCTCGTCCCAGAATTCGAGACGCGACCATTCTGCTTTTTGATCGGTCTTTGCGTCTAGGCCAGGGCCGCCTTCTTGGTTTTGAGGTGTGATCTCTGTGGCAGGGTATGCGGTAACTGGGCCCTTGTTGTCGCTCATCTTGAAGGTAGTGTGAGTAAAGGTACGTGTAATTGGCCTGAATAGGGTAGAAGAGGTGATTGGCTTCCGGAAAACAAAGTTCGAAGATTTGATGATGGTTGTTTTGAACATCTCTGTCGATCGGGGGGTAGTAATTGTAGGGGCCGGTTTTGGTGGGGTTGGGATTTGATACGATCGTCATCGAGCGTCATCGTTGGAATTCAACACCACGTCACGACGCTGAGTCTGGACTGAGGCTTTTGAAATTGTTCATTAACCGGTGCATAGAATAGCAATAACGAGGACACCAGGTGAGCATGGGCTTACCCATCTGATTGATGGAAGTCGCGTTCTCTGCTCCAAACGCGTCTGAGCCGCTTCGCAGGTGTGCGTGCGTGCACAGATCATCCACGTCGGAAAAGCAACGACACGCTCACAATCGAGGAGAACCTTGGACTAACAACTGCTGAAGGGACGAGGGCCAAGAGTATCGGGTCCGGGACGTATAAGGATATAGTAACTGGAAGATACACCAGCGACCAATATTAACTCCCGCATTCAAGCTTCTTTTGCGAAGCTACCTAGGTGATCAGGCCTGGAGCATCATTCTTGCCCCCAACCTCCCGTCGGCAAGGGTGTAACGAAGGCTTGTACGTCCATGAAATGATGATAAGGTCTTGTTGATGCAGGTCGGTCACCGCAGCTCTTCGACTACCCGACGTCTCGCGTTCCAACCTAAGCCCGGCCAAGCGTCCGCTAACTTTCACGCAAGCTGAATTTTCTCATGATCAGTCTGCGCAGTGGCAGGCCGACGACAGCATTTCGAAACCATGTGCCGCGCATTTCATGCAGCTTGAAGAGAACAGAGGAGAAGATGGAGAGTTTCAGGGTCTTGGAACCTTCGTCATGATTCCATTGGAAGGGGGCGCCATGGCCCTTTCAGGATTAGTCCGACGACCTTACCCCACCGCCCCTGATCCGGGCCGCCTTCCGCTTCCCGTGTCACGTCACCGTTTGTTCTCCGAGTACTCTGCATCAACGCAGACCTAACCGCCATTGTCTGTGATCCTTGTGAATACTTGAAAGTGCTTCTCGAACAACATTACTCTCTTCAATCGCCATGGACCCATCACTCGAAAGTGATGTTCTAAACCGAAGATCGTTAATTCTAACGTACCGAAATTACAAAAACGACACGGAGTACATCGCTGGTTGGCTCGCATGGACATCGGGGAAATGCGGATACATCAGAGCTATCAACGAGCCGGAGCCTCAGCAGAAGGCGCCGCGGAAGAGGGGAAAGGCAGGCAAAGCTCGTAAGCCAGCCAAGAAGACGCCGGAGCCTGTGACCCCAGCTCAATATCCTATACGCGTCTCCGAGTTCGTAGAGATGGCTGAACATATTGCTTCATTTGATCCCAAGATTGAAGTCCCAGCTGCGCTACAACAGGTGTTTGACCGAGTGATCTTAGCTCGGAGCAAAGTGGCCAGTTGGTTCGAGAAAGGGCACTCGACCGATTACGTCAGCAACCACAGGCACTCCTACTTTATCACCGTTCTGGAAAAGGCGGCAAAACTGCTGAAGCCTCTGATACCAGAGACGCCAGTAGTTTCTGAGAACATCAAGCTACAAAACAGGTTCGCCGGGCTTACGGTCGAAGAGACGGACCCACTGGACGATCTCATCACCAAAGTTAAGGAGAAGCAATTGCCCAAAGTCGACCCTATCCCGATTGAGCAAGACGAGGAGAGTCTCGAGCACGACTTCTTCTTCGCTATCGCGACATTTCTTGACGAGATCTACGACGTGCGAGCATGGATTGTGCGAGAGTGGGATGAATATCGGCAGACAGGTGACGGTCTCACACGCGCGGCAGTGCTTTCCAATACGGCCGTCGATCTGGTGCGATCTGCTGAGAACCAATTGGATCAGATGCTCGTTCGTCCCAAGAAGTAAGGGTAAGCCATTGTAGTGCCCGTATACACAAGCTGACAAAGATGATTAGATACCCCGCCAAGGAATACCCTGTTTGGACTCTTCCGGCACTGCTCTACGCTCGCTTGCATGATTTCTGGGACGGCGATATCAAAGACAATGTCGATAAACTCGTCAAGCCGTCTATGAGAATCCGGCCAAACGATCATCCGTGCGAGCAGGAGACATATTGTATGTGGCACGTCTATAGCGGCCTAAAGGTATTTTTGTTATCACAGACGGGCCCACTTCACACTCGACAATCTCACATAACGCGAGAGTCATTCGGTAGTAACGCAGACAAAATAGCCCTGGAGGTCTTTGAGACCCTGGAATGGGCTCAGTTCTTCGACGTCGCAAGTCATCCCCATCTGTCTCATTTCGCTGTCGACGAGACTGCTCGGGGTATCAAACACATGATAACTTTCAAAGAGATTCCTATATGGCTCACTGTAGCGGTACAAATGTTCTTTGACGTTGAGTCGGTGTTTCAAGAGGAGGGCACGCTTGCAGCGCCTTTTCGCGAGTACAAAGAGACTGTTCGTAAAGCCGCGCAGGATTTCTCCAAAATTGATCCTATGTCCAAAATTGATCCTATCGAGCGGCCATTCAAGGGATCTGCGGATTCCGACAAAAAGATAGCCTCGCTCTATCAGAACATACGTAACATCTTGAGCGACCATCAAGACTACGCGATTCGTGATCGCTGGGGAAGATTCATCCGGAAGATCAAGGAGGACAAGCATGAGCCACTGAGTAAAACTGTAGACGAGCCGGATTACGGTACGTTTGGATCATACTGGTGTTACAAGAGGGCTAAAACTAACTTGCGACAGTCTTGAAAAGGCATCCGATCCGCTGCGGGCTTCTGAAGTACGAACTACAGCTACAGCTTAATCACAGAGCTTCCAAAATCGAGCATATGGCGGGCGACATCCTTTACATGGCCTGGCTATATGTTGCGGTAAGCCGGATACTGCACCCGGAAATGCCCCGATGGCCTGACATGGAATATCTACTCAACGGTCGACAAGACAAGCTGTTCTTCGGCGAATGGCCAAAGACTCTCGACGAAGTGGGTAAGAAGATTGATCTCGGACGCGGCTACTCCATTGCCAACAAGGCGAGCAATCGGCGTTCAAAGAAGGACACCTGGGACAACAAGCAACTGCGCCGACTCGATGACCCAACTGTGATCGGAGAACTGTTTTTGAAGCGGATGGGTGCGGAACCCAAATCAACAGCAGAAGCCCACGAATGGGTGATGAAGTTAGTCAGCCTGGTGTGCAAGCCAGAGTCGCAGAAGATCTTGGACCGACAAGAAAACTTACCCCAAGGTACTTACGAAACATCGGAGTTCTTGAAGTCCGTGGAATTGCAACGCAAGCCCTTAGCCTTGCTCGGAGAGATTCGCCAGTGGCTCCTAGCGGATGAAAACGACCTGCACTTCGACTGGTTCGGTATGTTGTCTACCTGTACAGACATCTGGAAGACAATCATGCCGGCATTTCGCAAGAATCCCGTGTTCAAAGACGACCCTAATATCTACAACTGGAACATTAATACTGTAATCACTGTACTCAAGACAGAATCTATCGCGCAAGACACGGGTACGCCTATGCCAATTTTTGAGGCGGTTTGGGAAACTTTAAAGCAGTTCATCCAGATCCCAGTATCAAAGGAAAGCGGCAGCAAAACATGGAAGGGCGATCTACATTTGGCCAAGCTTGTAGACGTTTGCAACCCTGCGATGACGTTGATGAACCCAGGGCCTGTCAGCTTCATGAATCTCTATGCAAACTGGAGTGATGAAGACAAGAGAGACTCTCGTGTGGGCAGAGCAGTTTGGTATGCAATGCAGGCATTTGGTGCTAGGACCGGGAAGGAGAAGAACACCAGAGAGAGCGTGAAAGAAGAGACAGATGGTGAAGAGTCAGTCAGCGAGATATCAGCCGCCGAGGAGCCTGTCGACGAGGAACCAGCCGACAAAGAGCCAGTGAACGATACACCCGCGGATGAGGACGAACCCAGCGAGCACTCAGACAGCCAAGACGATGAGACGGCCGAAATCGACGAAGCAGCTTCGGACGCTGGTAGTGGCATCAGTATTCAGGAATTCTCTTTGGACCTCAATGCGCTCGCTAGCCAGTACAAGAACGGCGGCAACAACATCATCTTCATGGGCAACAAAATGAAAGCGCCGGTAGCCATCAGTCGCGCGCAGATGGGCCAGCTACGTACGGCACCCAATGGGGACTTCGTATTGCCCGGCGGACCCCCAAGCCGGTCTTCTCGAGTAAAAATGCTACCCCCACGGAAGTCGAAGCGTGTTCGTGGTGTTCGTGCGATAGCTACGACGGAAGATGCCCCTGATCTGTGTGCTTGCGGTCTCAGTCGGTACGGAGTGAGTGTAAGGCCGATAACGACAATGAACACCAAGGCAGCGAAAGTGGAGCACCAATGTATGGGAGCGCTATTCGAAGGGATCGACGTGCCGGATCGTGATCTTGGAGACGCTATCAAGGTGACACGACGCAAAATTCGAGGTTCGTAAAGTTGGAAAGAAGGAAAGCAGACTCGGAGCTCGTGGCATGGGACCGCGGAGGTAGCATAGCTAGTCAATGTATGTAGTCGACCACGATGTCCTCCGCACTTAGGTTTCCTGCTAGCGTTCGCTCCATGATACAAACAACGTTCTTCGAAACAGGCTGTTACAGCAACGACAGTGACGACATTGCGAACGTACCACGTACTGCCAGGTGCTTGCTGGAAATGCATCGCACCGTGCTGGAGCTCCAACCTTCGGCTTTCCTTGCACCCACAAAGGCTCACGGTAAACAACCACGAGCACGACCTCAGCGCGTGCTAGAACATTCACCTTGGAATGCTGCAGCAAGGTGCAGATCAAAGCCAATGCAGTTGCACGATAGACGCTGGAAATGAAGTTCTCGTACAAAACCAATACCCGGGTGCGTGTTTTCGCTAACAGAGACATGCCGACGGACGATCAGGTAGGTTACCGCTGCTAATACCCATGGGATTGTTTCCGAAAAGCAATTTAAATGCAGGTTGCATGCGGCGCAGCTTCTCAAGATCACCAGGAACACTTCAATGCGTTGCTTTTGATGGACTATTGTACCATACTTGGACGATTGGGCAACAGCAACCCAGGAAATTGCACATGGCCTGCGCCACGAAATGACGCTGGAACAACACTCCAAGATACCAGGCGTACAACATAGAGTTTCTGTCTATACTGGCATGCCATGCGTTCGCTTGTTCAAACTGTCGAAAGGAATGGAAGATGATCTCAAGAGGTCGCTCCTGTCCAACTGTCGTGCTCGGAGAGGGGTAGACAAAGCGGGGCGCTTGATGGGCGTCTGCGATGTTACTAATCGTGCGACTACCATATTTGACTACCTTGTTTGGTAATCTCCATACGTCAGTAAGCTAATGTCGACGCCGCACACTCCCTACCGATAGTCGTCACGGCCGGTAAACTTCCAAGATGCGCTCGCATGCATCCGAATCCTCCGGATCAGACGGGCGCATAACTCAACGAGGAAGGTCAGGCCTTCCTCGTGGCGACATGTCGATCGTTGAGCGGAGAGCCAGCATCTGGACCAGAGTGGAGGAAAAGTACCAAGGCTTTCGGCAGTGCTCACGCGTGTCGCTCGTATTACCAGGGAGGCCGGAAAGCGATCAGTTGCTACGATTTCAGATGCCGGTTCGGTAAGAGTTCGCCAACCTGCGTTGTTTGAAACATAGCACGGCATTGTCTCAAACAACCAGACGTTTTCGTCGCAGGAGTGAACCAAAATTGCCGCATGCGCCGGTGATGTGTTGGGAAGCGATGGGTCTTGTCGATAGGCTGTTTATCGATAGCCCTCTGGCGGCTGAAACAGCGGCGTCGTGCGGCAGCGGAAGCCCCGTATTCACCCCTGCTGCCACGACACGCAGCCGAGGGGCGATCCGACCACGAGAAAAACAGCCCCAAGTCATTACAAACGAAAACCAACATGACATCACGCCTTTTGATTCGTTCTTTTGCGTGATGAGGTTGATCTCGGTGTTTTCCGAGATCCACCCAAAATCTTGAGACTTCGATGTCTGGGCTTCGAGAATACGAAATGTACGTATGCAAACTCCACATGAGGTTGAGAATGGCACAGCAGGCTGAGACACCGACAGCTGCGTGACAGAATTAGTACTATGCAATAAGAAGGGGCACAGTTCGTCATCTCTACGCCGTACGCAGGCGCGCAGATGACTACCAATGATAGTGGGTGTATTCCTCTACACGCCGGGCGAACCCAGTTCGTGACTAAGAAACTAGTTCTTTCGTACCTACATTAGCGTCAGGCACACACTCCACCAGCTGAGCGCCGGCGCACCTCTTTGGTCAGCAGGCCGCCTGTCAGAGACAGCAGAAGCCACCGTGCAAACCCCTCACGGGCGTCGGGAAATGCGGGGCGAAAAGTAAGCGCCTCCGAAATGATGGCCTGGACATTCCGGGCCACCTTGGCTGCTTCTGGAATGCTGGGTGGTGAGCATTCTTAAGGGCTGCTGCTCGCCCTTGCAGAGGGATAACCTTCACGCTCACAGCTAGCAAGTCACTCTCTCTTCAGTCATTCATTGACCAGTCATTCATTCTATAGCCCGGTGCTATCAACAACACTCATTCTTCTCCACATTCTTTACATATACCCACCAACAAATATACCCACAGAACCGTTATCTCTACGACCAACATCAACTCAACCATGTCTATGTCCAAGATCTTCCAGACTGGCGCTCTTGTAGCTGCCCTCATCGCTACCGTGGCCGGCCACACCTCTGTCGAGCAGTTCGAGGCTGGAGGCAAGACCTACCCCGGTTTCCGTCAGGCTTCCAAGCAGGATCCTGGTAACAAGTCGCCTGCTTGGTGGACCAACCAGGGCTGGGGATACCAGCCCATCTACGGTGACAAGCTGAGCCAGTACGTTCATTCCACCCTCGAGTCCTAGTCTCTTGTGAAATGTACTAACCAAACTCCAGCCCCGACATCATTGCCCACAAGGATGCCTCCCCCTCCCCATACACGGTCGAAGCCCCCGCCGGCCAAGACGTAACCTTCCACTGGCACCACGAGGGCAGCTGCGGCTCCGGAGAAGAGGGCTGGGACTGCTCTCACCACGGCTGGACAGCCACCTACATGGCATCCTGCAACGGCGACTGCAAGAACGTCGACAAGACGAAGCTCGAGTTCTTCAAGATCCACCAAAGCGCCCTCCTCGACTACCGCAAGGGCCGCTACTCCTCGGGCCAAGCCCAAGGCCAGACCGGCTACTGGGGTACCGACGCCATCTTCTACGACAACGGAAACACCCAGAAGGTTACCATCCCCTCTGAGATCCCCAGCGGCAACTACGTCCTCAGGACCGAGGTTGTGTCTATCCACAACAACGGCGATGTTAGCCAGCGCCAGTTCTGGCCTCAGGCTTTCAACATCAAGGTCACTGGTGGTGATGACAGCAAGCAGGTCCCTGCTGGAAAGAAGGGTACTGAGCTCTACAAGGCCAGCGATGAGCTCCTTCAGTGGGACCTCTACTGGCACCAGGCCGGCGAGACTATCGAGGATGCGCCTGGTCCTAAGCTCGCTGCTGTCGCTTCCGTTCAGAAGCGTGCTCACGCTCGTGACTTCTCTGCTTAGGCAACCCTTTTTACACTTTCAACTTCCTCTTCTTCTTTCTCCGTCTGATTAGGGATGGCTGGTCGCATGCTACACGGGTTAGCTGCGCGGATTACAAAATGGTGTATACGGGCATGGGTTGGGGTTTAGGCTTTCATGGACTGGGACTGGGATTCTTCTTCTTCTTGGGCATCACTTTCGATTGGACTGGGTCTTTCGGTTAGGATGATGCTGCGACGACTTTTGATGATTCACTTCTTAGATACACTTAGGCATTACTGCAATGCAAGTTTCGAGCATTGCGCTCAACCGCACACATCTGATCTTCCCAGTTTCTTTTCTCCTCATCAAAGTCCGCGGCTGTTAGCAGCTCCGTCTTCACTGTGTGTGCTATCCGTCGACATCTTCATTTCTTACGCGGGTGGATCCCGCTTGCCTGGTCAGATGGTAGCCTTCCACCCCTGGCGCTACAGGATATACACCCTTGCTGGGTTATTGTATTGCTCGCTCGGTATCTTCACACCCTCGTCGTCCACCCATTCCACGCACATGGTCCATGCATGGAGGCGCATCATCATCATCCACCAGACATCTTCGTACGAGAATTTCGCAGCGCTGGGTCTGCGACGTTCCATCTCTTCCACAAATTTGGGTACATTTTCAGCGTATATATACGCGCGCTCCATGAAGATCGGATCCCAGTCGTGTGGTATCTGCGCGAAGTCCTGTTGTTTGTGCAGTCCGTTCCTAATGTTTTCCTCGGCTCTTTGAAGGCTACAGGCGTTGACATTGATGTGACAAGGTATGTAGAATCTGTACAGATTCCACATGCCAAAGTCCTCGATGGACTGAAAGTACCGTGTTGTGGCGTCAAAAGCATTCTGAAAGAACGTTCTCAATTTTGATTCTGATTTCGCTCGGTAATGTCCTTGGAACCCACCATGCCCTTGTTCCCATGAGACATAGAAATCTCGTACTTTCTTGCACGAGTCCGAGAGCGTTGCACCTCGCTTGATGAGCTCCAATACCCAGACATTACGCGATTCAGGTCTTTCGCCCATTGTCGTCAATGGAAACGGGAATGGGTTGTCGATGATGTGGGCTGCGACGTCATCGCTCGGGAGCCATTCGCACCACAGTCCAAGGATATCTGTGAAAGCAGGAAGTCTGTGAGCAGAATTTTGATGAGACAAGCTTGCTTCCAAAGCCTTTTGACCATCCGAACATATGTGCAGGAGGCGTATCGCACGACTCAAATCTACTGCTCCAGAGGATTGCTTATCCCTCAGATAAAGATTGAGACACATTTGTTCGTTATTAAAAATTACGGGTACTCCCATGCTGGTGATAATCCCTAAAGTTAACTAAAATCTGTTAGCAAAGACTGTCAAGACTGTACAAAAGCAGACGGTTGGAACCTCTTGTGAACGGCACCTTGTCGCAAACACTATGTTTCGACAGCAGCCCTGGAGGTACCTCGCGTCTAGCGAACCCACTGACAAGACGGTGCAAGACCGCAATGAAAACATCATGCATTATACGTACCTGGTCTGCAACTTTACTAGGTATACGGTGTTTGGGAGTGTACTTAGACGCACTCGTGCTGTATTCCACTACTAGACCCATGCCGCGTACAATCGATGTAGAGAAGCTCCGGTCTCCACCTATTGCACGCATAATGCCTTCATCGAGTCTGAAATCTCTCCAGGTCATATTCAGACGATAAGCCATCGTAATTAAACACCCGACTGTAGTACTAGCGACTGGTCGCACGATGTCTGGAGGCATGAAATCCCAAGAACGAGTTTTTCCTGTGTTGATAAAAACATCAAATTAACCGTACGTTTCAGGCATGCCTGTCATTGAGAGCTTACTGGAGATAC